CGATACTATGTAACTGTGTTATAATGCTGTAACCCTGGACATCATTAGGTACCTGCATTGTAATGTCGTAACTATGGACGTGACCATGTACCTTCGCAGCAATGCTGTCACCAAAGACAGCATTATGTTCCTGTGTTTTAATGTCGTAACTATGGACGTGACCATGTACCTGTATTATAATGCTGTAACACTGGAGATCATTATGTACCTGTGTTGAAATGTCGTAACTACGGACGTGATCATATACCTTTGCAACAATGCTGTTACAAAAGACATCATTATGTACCTGTGTTTTGATGTCGTAACTATGGACTTTACTATGTATCTGTTTTATAATGCTGTAACACTGGACATCATTATGAACCTGCGTTGTAATGTCGTAACTATGGACGTGACCATGTACCTTTGCCGCAATGCTGTTACCAAAGACATCATTATGTACCTGTGTTTTAATGTCGTAACTATAGACGATACTATGTACCTGTGTTATAATGCTGTTACACTGGACATCATTATGTACCTGTGTTTTAATGTCGTAGCTACGGACGTTACAATGTACCTGCGTTATAATGCTGTAACACTGGACATCATTATGTACCTGTGTTTTAATGTCGTAACTATAGACGATACTATGTACCTGTGTTATAATGCTGTAACTCTGGACAACATTATGTACCTGTGCCTGTGTTTTAATGTCGTAACTATGGACAATACTAGGTACCTGTGATATAATGCTGTAACACTGGACATCATTATGTACCTGTGGTGTGATGTCGTAACTATTGACGTGACCATGTACCTTTGCAGCAATGATGTTACTAAAGACATCATTATGTACCTGTGTTTTGATGTCGTAACTACGGACTATACTATGTACCTGTGTTATAATGCTGTAACACTGGACATCATTATGAACCTGCATTGTAATGTCGTAACTATGGACGTGACCATGTACCTTTGCAATAATGCTGTTACAAAAGACATCATTATGTTCCTGTGTTTTAATGTCGTAACTATGGACGTGACCTTGTACCTGTGTTATAATGCTGTAACACTGGAGATCATTATGTACCTGTGTTGAAATGTCGTAACTATGGACGTGACCATGTACTTTTGCAACAATGCTGTTACAAAAGACATCGTTATGTACCTGTATTTTGATGTCGTAACTATGGACGGTACTATGTACCTGTTTTATAATGCTGTAACACTGGACATCATTATGAACCTGCGTTGTAATGTCGTAACTATGGACGTGACCATGTACCTTTGCCGCAATGCTGTTACCAAAGACATCATTATGTTCCTGTGTTTTAATGTCGTAACTATAGACGATACTATGTACCTGTGTTATAATGCTGTAAAACTGTACATCATTATGTACCTGTGTTTTAATGTCGTAACTATAATGCTGAAACAATGATATCATTATATACCTGTGTTTTAATGTCGTAACTATGGACGATACTATGTACCTTTGCAGCAATGCTGTTACTAAAGACATAATTATGTACCTGTGTTTTAATGTTGTAACTACGGACGATACTATATACCTGTGTTATAATGCTGTAACTCTGGACAACATTATGTACCTGTACCTGTGTTTTAATGTCCTAACTATGGACGATACTAGGTACCTGTGACACAATGCTGTAACACTGGACATCATTATGTACCTGTGTTGTGATGTCGTAACTATCGACGTGACCATGTACCTTTGCAGCAATGATGTTACTAAAGACATCATTATGTACCTGTGTTTTAATGTCGTAACCACGAACGTAACAATGTACCTGTGTTATAATGCTGTAACACTGGATATAATTATGTACCTGTGTTGTAATGTCGTAACTATGGACGTGACCATGTACCTTTGCAGCAACGCTGTTACTAAAGACATCATTATGTTCCTGTGTTTTAATGTCGTAACTATGGACGATACTATGTACTTGTGTTATAATGCTGTAACACTGGACATCATTATGTACCTGTGTTTTAATGTCGTAACCACGAACGTAACAATGTACCTGTGTTATAATGCTGTAACACTGGATATAATTATGTACCTGTGTTGTAATGTCGTAACTATGGACGTGACCATGTACCTTTGCAGCAATGCTGTTACTAAAGACATCATTATGTACCTGTGTTTTAATGTCGTAACTACGGACGATACTATATACCTGTGTTATAATGCTGTAACCCTGGACAACATGATGTACCTGTACCTGTGTTTTAATGTCGTAACTATGGACGATACAATGTACCTGTGATATAATGCTGTAACACTGGACATCATTATGTACCTGTGTTGTAATGTCGTAACTTTGGACGTGACCATGTACCTTTACAGCAATGCTGTTACTAAAGACATCAGTATGTGCCTGTGTTTTAATGTCGTAACTACGGACGTTACTATGTTCCTGTGTTATAATGCTGTAACCCTGGACATCATTATGTACCTGTGTTTAAATGTCGTAACAACGGACGTTATTATGTACATGTGTTATAATGCTGTAACACTGGACATCATTGTGTACCTGTGTTTTAATGTCGTAAATACGGACGTTACTATGTACCTGTGTTATAATGCTGTAACACTGGACATCATTATGAACCTGTGTTTTAATGTCGTAACTATGGACATGACCATGTACCTTTGCAGCAATGCTGTTACTAAAGACATCATTATGTACCTGTGTTGTAAAGTCGTAACTACGGACGCTACAATGTACCTGTGTTATAATAATTTAATGCTGTTTTTGGTCTTTCCTATGATCTGTGATATATATTGGGTCTATGTACTTCCTTGTGTATTTGTGTTATAAGTAACTTGTGATTTAATGTTATAATTATTTATTTTTATTTTTCTCTGTGTTAATACACTTTAACTATAATCCCCGACCCCCTTTAACCAGTGATATTATGGATGTTTTCATATGTTTCTGTAATGTAATGATATATCGATCGCGATTTAAATGTTTTTCATTTTGAAAACCCTAGCTTTATTTACAATTTCTTTTTCTTTTCTATGGTCGTCGCTATTGATCAATTCTTCAATAGCATGAAACAAACTGACAAACTATGAGGAGTTCCATTCCTGAAATCAATACGTGTCTCTTCCTGCTGTCCGTGCTGTTTTAACCTAATATCCGAGTACTCTACAATAAACTTATCTAGACCATAACATTTTCCTTACGTTTGTATGCGTCACACAACAGTTATCTTTAACAAGGTACATAACTTATAAGTTCGCTTATATTTAATTTCATGAAGTGACCAATCGGAATATCGCTCAAAATGGAATATTCTAGAGTATTCGAGTATCGATCATTTTATTAGTAATATAATTCTGACGTTAAAGTATCACAAAAAAAAATACAAACACTCGAAATTATTAACAAATTGTCATATACATGAATCTACATTTGTCAATCAAGTCCTTCGCAATGTTTTTTCTTCCATCGCCGTGAACTTGTCTGAACGTTTCTTTCCGAAACTATTACATTTGTAGTAAGATCAAACGGCACTTTCCTTTAGTATTGCAGGGGAAGTGTTCATGTGCAAGAAGGCTTTTTTTCCCAAGCTGTGTGTCCAAGATCGCTGTGGCCTAGTTTGTGTCGAAATTTATATATATATATTGTATATATATATGTCATTTCAATCAAAGGATGGAGGTACTTTGTGTTACTGTGAACTCTACCACGACATAAGTTTTTAGTTAGACAAGATGGATAACATAAAGTGTCCTCTGGTTAAATGTGTGATATTATCCGATTTCGCTCATATGTGCTATGCATGCATAGCATGCCACTTCAAATATATGAAGTCATTAGCATTTTCGTTTTCGTAATCGGACAAAATTTCACCATGGCATGGCTTCTAACAAGTAGGCATAGTTAATTTCCGAGTTCGATCAAAACTGGTCCGTAGGTGTATTCCTGACTGGCTGCAAGGTATAAATTACCTGATTTGTATATATTTGTATTATTGCACTTCAAACTCAGCTACAACTTGCGTTTCGTAAATGGAAAAAGAAGTGTTATTGCCTAGGGGAGTTTGAGGTTATTATGCAACGACCGTTGTTCCAATCAGAATGTGTTTCGTTTAGGTTTGACAATTTAGAATAAGCAGATATTAAGGCAAGCCAACTTAACATTTATTCAAGGAGCAATGTCGATCCTGTATTTCATCGAATTATATAAGATATCTTATATAGCATATAAGATATCTCATATGCTATACAAGATATCTTATATATTTTTTTGAAATAAAGGATTGACATTGCTCCTTGAATAAATGTTAAGTTGGCTTGCCATAGATATTGTGTGTCGAGCTCTCTACGTGATATTCCATAAGGAATATCAAATAATTAAATCGGACAATTGTTTGGTGGTTATTGACAACTTACCAATCTGTAATAGATATATTCAGATCAGTTGCAACGGGCCTTTTTCCGTTATAATGGAAAGCATTTTCTACGGTTGTTGTTATATTAAAATGTAATTTCTCCCACATCCAGTAGATGTTTTCTCAATCCAAACTCAGTATTGCTTGGAGTTGGTAAATATATTTGGTACCCACTAGTAGGTAACACCCTAGACGTGATTTCAATGGTCAATCTTCTTATGATGTCAAGTAACATTGCCTTGCGACGTTATCTTCCATTTTTGACATCATAGTTCATGGCAACAGTTTCCCAGATCGGAATCACAAATAGTATATACCCAAGAGAACATTTAGGTATAATATCTGAATGTTGCGGGGGAAAAAAGTCCCTTCACTCGCGATGGTTGACTATTATTTGTATCTTACTCTCGTTAGTTAGTTTTAAAATTGTTAAGGACACTCGGTAAACCTTGTGACTTTATACAATTTTAAAACTAAAAAACTCGAGTAAGATAAACATGATGACCATTCCTCGTTGGGAAAACTCTGAGTAACAATGCAACAATTATTTGTATCAATATCATATCACTGCTTTTTGTACTGTTTTGCAGATTGAGTTGGTTTCAACATCGTCAACATGCCTCCCTCAGGTAAACATCTAATATTTATATAATACAGTTTTGCTTTTTGGCACCCTCCGACATAAACGTTATGACAAATCACAACATAAAATCTATAAGCGACAAAGTAAGGAAACAAAAGTATGTTTGCACATTCAAGAACCTTCCCTTCTTTCAGTTTTAGACATCATTGTAGAGAAAGTGGATCAGAATATACCGTTGACCAGGAAATTCGGAAGCTCAGATTTTTTTTTCAAAGCGTAAATGAAAAATAACTAAAAATAAATACTATTTTAACAGTGGTACAAGGATCCTGAACCTTAAAGACTCGATAGGTCTGAAAATCGTAAATTCAGTCACGGCAGAATGTCACATATACCGATTAAAGATGTTTCCAAAACACATTAATATAATTAATCCTCCCTGACAAATCACTTTATAGAAGTAACATAGCTGGAAGAGAGAAATCGCCGATATATGGAGTTCATGAAAAATTGAACAAGATGGAAATACTCGGGTAAAGATTACAGGTATATTAGTAATGCATCATGAATTTTGAAGATTTGTTAAATCATTTTTGCAGGTACTTTCTAATATTCGGATTATATGAGTGAAAATTTTGAAGTATATGTTTCTTCGAACAGAAATTTTGAATATTGATTATTTAACTTAACAATCTAACGTCCCCTCCAACTTTTGCGTACGTATTTTTGTCACGCAATTTAAACCATTGAATCACACGGGTTACTGACCATCAACACATTGTTGCTAAGTTTTGTTTGTTTGTCCAACGTAATCCATTGTTCACTGTTCTGCAACATTATACTAAGATTATGTCATGTATCTTATTTTGACAGAAATGAAATTGCTGCAAGATGCTATTCATGGGAAAAACGTCGGTGATGCTCTTTCTGTTCTCAAACACTACACAGATAAAAAGAATGTAAAATCAGATGTGCGCAATTATCGTTGCCGTTACGACGAGAACGGGGAAAATATAACCACCGACGATACCATTCTCCACCTCGCTGCAGCATTTCTAGATGAACGTCACTATGCCATTATAGACGAGATAGTAAAGCTGGCGCCTGATCTGCTTGCGTCTGGAAAATTGTCTAAAACCCATAGTGGGCAAACACCCCTTCATATCCTCATAGTCAGGAAACAAAACGACACACTTAGAAGAATCAAAGATTTGTTATTGTCTGGTGAACTAGAAATGGGCGGTACTGTAAGAAACAACATATCCAACCCTAAAGTTGAAGGTGAATGGTTCAGGAAGACTATCATGGAAGGTGAACTGCCACACATAGTGGCAGCACTCACACTAGACATAGACACTGCCGAAATTGTGTTAGAGATGACACGCACAGATATCAAAGCGCAGAATAGCGAAGGAAACACTGTTTACCATTGCCTGGTAGAACATGCAGCTAGATATCCGGAAGAAATACAGGGAGTGACTGCAATGTGGAATTTTCTTACCTCTTATGATCAACAAACGGGTAGTGGAGAAGACCGCATACAAGCCGCAATCGGGTCTAAGTACGCACTTAGACTACCTAACAAGGACCTCATGCGACCGTTACAGTTGGCTGCCTTGCATGGGGTAGCTACACTGTTCAACCTGATACTGAACTCTGAGAGAATTCTAAATGCCAAAGATAGACTTTTTGACTCCTACCTGTATGATATCTCAGTAATCGACACTGTTGCTCATTTCAAAAGTCAAAGAGAAAAGAAAGAAAAGAAACATAATGAACAAAGAGTAACCAGGAATCAAGTGATTCCATCAGACAACACTCCTTCAAACAATGTAGAGGAACGCAATAATGAACAAGTCGGTACAGCAGTGAAAACCGAAAAGATCCAATGCAGTCGGAGTGTGCTGGAGATGATGTGCAATAGGAGATTCGCCAAAAACAAAAACTCCGTCTTCGAAATAATAAGACAACCGCCTATGAAGATGCTGATTGACGTTAAATGGAAGCACTGTTGGCGCCATTTCTACATATGGGCGATTTGCCACATTGTGATAATGGCGTTTTACAGCGCATACGCGATAGAAAGGGCGGTCGTAGCTTTCCCCTCAAACTCAACCCATCCTGAAACCACAGATGTCAAGAAAGACTTCGTGTCCTGGATGTCTTACCTACTTTTACCATTGGTAGGTGCCCCTTATTTACTACTTACAGTGTTACTGGTAATAGCCAGATGCAAGCGCCCAACACCCCGTGAATACATCACACACGATATTGAATACATCGTTCTACTGTTTTTGTTTTCGTTCGGCCTTTTGGTAGATAGTATATGTCATTATAGCTATCTAGAAAATTGTGATTGTTTTCTGGTAATCTCCCTTCTCTCTGGCTGGTGGTTTACCATTTTCTTTTTTCGTGCCTTTGAAGCGTTAAGCTTTTACGTTGCAATGATACTAAAAGTGATTTTCGGGGACCTGCTTCGTTTTGGGTTGTTTATCCTTCTGGCTCTCGTTTCCTTCAGTACCGCTTTTCAAGTCTTGGTTCAAGGTAGTTGTGTACCAACTGCGTATGGTGATGAGACATATAAAGCTTTCTTTCAAACAGCGCTGATCAACTTCCTATTGATGTTTGGTCTTGAAGATATTGAGTTTTTACGTGAAGCTAGGGAGCCTGCCATGGCCTATATCGTCTACCTGGTGTATGTTATAATGACTTACCTTGTTTTACTGAATTCTTTGATTGCAATGATTTCGGAGACGTGTGCCTCAGTACGAGAAAACGGAGAAGTTTTTTTCCATACCCAACGACTTTACGTCATACTCTTTTTAGAAGAAATAACCTATCCTTTTTGGCTACTTGGTGACAAGTGGATTCCATGTGTATCATTTGAAGAGCGACCCGTAACACGAAATGAAATCCTCATATATAGGAGTTACTTTTTAAAAATGACTTCCAACACCCTCGAAAATGAAAGTTATAATGATGTCCCGTCAAAATGTTTTGAACAAGTGCAACAGAAACCTGAAAATTTTACTATTAAGATACAGCAACCTTTCCTCGAGGAATCTTTCGGTAATGACAATAAACCGACTTTTAGATTGATGTGGAATGACGAAAAAAAGTGAAAAAATCTTAAGCGATTCCGGTTTACATTAGTATATATCCAACTTGAACTAGAGTACGAACAACATCCTGTTCTATATTTTATGCTTGTAAATATTCTGTTTTTATCAATTTAACCAAAGCCTTACAACTATTTCAACTATTTAATGATATTCTGTTTAATGTGACGCATTTCTTTTAATTTTCGTTATGTTGTTATGGAACGTCTAAATGTGTAAATCACACCATTGATTGAGGGTTGGAAATTGATAAAAGTTTTTTTCTGTAGAGAACAGTGAGGCTATAATGTGTTTGGATATAAAAAGAAGTAATGGAGAGTTAAAAAGATATAAATAGTCTATTCAGAAATGTAACATACATACAGACTTTTTCACATAACAATGTATCATTTACTATAATAGAAAATAATTTCACAGTAGGGTGATTTTAAGTATATATAGACATACAACCACTACTATGGAAATATTTCCGAAACGCAAAAAGCGGAATTCATTATCCTTTAGTATGCATTAAAGTCAAAAAAGTAAATCTCTCTTGGAGAAATAAATACGATTAAACATTTGAATCGACAAAAAATATTGAGACAAATTATGACATTTCTTTCAAAGTTTCTAGAAATATAAAACGATAACGGCTTCGATTTAGAATCAGTCATCATATTGTTTAACTACCTATTCATATATCATCACAGCGTGCGTGGTAAACCTGAAAGCAATATAAAGTAGTACAAATATTCTTACTAAATTTTTAATATTAGTCAGATTGGTTTCTGATTCCATTTGCTTTAATAAAGAATTTTACATCTATGTTATTTATTAAAGATAGTCCACTAAAGTCACATTGCTACGGGTACCAGTTAGTATTACCTATTTGTAACTAAAATAGTGAATGGAAAACGTGAAGAAATCGCCATATAGCTAAAACATTGGACATGTATTCTAAATTAGTACAAAACTCTTTACTAAAACAAATCAAAATAGCATGATTCTTGTTTTGCCTTATAACCATATTGATGTGATAAGGTTCTTAATAATTATGCCTGAATAATAAGTTATCACGAACTGATATCAAAAATGTCAAAAAAATCAGTTCTAGAGAAGATAAGGATGACTTTTTAAGCTTGTAGATACCATTTTACAATCATGTTTTTTTCTTTCATAATGATGGCTTCAAGGCATTTGCATATATGATATGAAGATTCGTCAACTTCATTTTATTGTCAGAACCATTGGTACATGTTGATACCAACAAGGTATCAGAAATGAAGTATATTTTTCATTTGTACTTTTTCACTTTTATTTCAAGTTTCATACAGCTCGTTAATACATGAAAACATTATATAATTGCTTTGTTTTAAGTTTTCCGACCTCGCAACTGCCAAGGTTATTTGATATATAATATATATTAATATACCAAAACAGTCTGTATTTGAAGACGGGTCACTCGACCGTATGACGATTTCCTCTTGCTATTTTTGTTTTTGAGGATGATTTGCAGTGTATACCGTACCTGGTGTATGTATACAAAGGTAGAACTCTTTATATGTAAATAGTATTATATGTATAAAAAGTACACTTTTTCTTTGTACACAGCACTCCGTGAATGTAAACAGTGCACTATGTGAAATTGAGTACGACGCAAATGTAACAAAAGTCTATGTAAAAAGTACAGATCGTATGTAAATAGTACAGATCATACTTAACTAGTACAGATCATATTTAAATAGTACAGATCATACTTAACTAGTACAGATCATATGTAAATAGTACAGATCATATTTAAATAGTACAGATCATAT